TAAATTGTCTGATAACATACACTACCATTTAAATGTTCAGTGGTCAGCAAGTTTTTTTTTTGTAAGAAATGAATTATTTTATTCAGCAAGGACACGTGTAAAGACAATAACAGTACTGCAAAATGACAGTAAAGACATTTATAATGTTACAAAAGATTTTTTATTTAGAATAAATATTGTTCTTTTGAACTTTCTATTCATCAAAGAATCCCGAATTTCTTTTTATCATGGTTTCCAAAAAAATGTTAATCGAAAATTTGAACCGTTTTAAACATTGATAATAACACAAAATGTTTCTTGACCAGCAAATCAGCATATATGAATGATTTCTGAAGGATCATGTGACACTGAAGACTGGAGAAATGATGCTGAAAATTCAGCTTTGCATCACAGGAATAAATTACACTGGCTACAGTTGACGGTAGCCATTGACTTCCACAGTATAGAAAAAGGCTACCATCAAATGCTTCGATACAAACATTCTTCAAAATATCTTCTGTGTTCAATAGAAGAAATAAACTCATACAGGTTTAGACCAACTTGGGTGAGTAAATGAATTTTCATTTTTGGGTGAACTAGTTTTATATCATCCACCTTGATCTCCAGATGCAGACATCTCCCCTATTGAAAAAAAAACCCTATTGGTCAGCCACTATTCAATGTCCTTTCTCAGTTCCATTATGATCAAAAGTCAACGATCAGACAGAATACTCTGAAACACAGTCACCGTCACTCCCACACACACTGCCTGACATATTTCATATTTCTGTGTCCCAATTACAAGCTCCTGCCCTTCAGCCCTCAAACATTTGAGGCTTTCTTCCGCTCCAGGATGCTTTTGTGCCCCTTCCACCTGCCACTCTACAGCTCTGAAGTGCACATCTGCAGTGCTTTCCCATAGATATGGGCAGGAAACAGCCCAGTATCAAAAAGGAGCAACCGAGATTCCTGCTTACTCTCATGCATGCATAATCACGGCAGTCTTTCTTTCAGCTGCCAAAATGAGTCCAAAACAATCAGTAAAATAACGATGGAAAACTTTTGTGTGTGATACAAACCCTCCGGCTTGGCTAAGACTGTGGAGAGTTTCCAGAGACCTGGGCTGGGGCAAAAAGAAAGAATACCCAAGAGATCTGAAATACTGCGCTCTGGCACCTCAAGCGTTAAAACTCCCAGAGGCTGAAATCTTAGCTCCAGTCAAGACTTCACTGAGCTGAACATTGGCTGTTTCTTTAAGCTGAAACCCTGTAGGCACAGTGGCTGATTTGCATGTACTACCTCTGAAACCACTGGGACGTTTCGCTCAGTAGAGAGAACCACACACCTCTTGGCAAGGTCAACAGTAACGGTGCACAACCAAGTGGGACTGACTGGAAATATGGAGAAAAAAAAGCAAGATGATCAGCCTCAGACATGACTTTAGGGCGTTTGCTCAAGATGATTCCCATTAGACCGAAAACTAATCTTGCAAGTGGGGCTAAAAAAATGAAAGACGATGAGGAGAGAGGGGAAAAACAGGCAATTTTCCCAGAGAGGAGTGCTGCTTGTCAAGTTCATTTTCTGACAACAGTTCCTCCCCTGGAGCCCTGGATGCGCTGCTGTGTATCGACAGTCACAGCAGGAAGCTCATCCAATCATAGCAGCCGCTTCAATGGGACAGACCTAAAATACTGCGCCAATGTGATTATCGATCCACAAATAACTCATCTCCCTTTACAAAGCCAAAGCAGAAGTCTGCTGACGGACTCCTCTGAGACTACATGCAACCTAGCAGACATCACATACCAGTTTGTGGGCATTAAGTATGATCTAAAATGTATATTAATGAATTTATTAGGGACAGAGTGCCTGTTTGTGGGAGATAAAGTGTGATTGGAACTTTAAAGAAAGATGATGTTTGTAATGTTATTCATATTAATATATTTTCTTCTGTGAAAGTTTAAAGTCACAGCAGGAAAATAATATGTAGGGTGGGATTTAAGCATTACTGGAAAATATTTTTTTTAAATATCATAAATGTGGTAAATCTTTACTTTTGTCAAATGTAGTGTCTGAAAAAAATAAAGAAAAAGAAAATTGCAAAAAAAATAAAATAAAATTATCTGGAGAAATTAATAGTTTTACTCAGCAAGAATGCATTAAACTCAAAAGTGACAGTAAAGACATTTAAATGTTAGAAAATACTTATATTTAAAATAATAATTGTTTTTCTTTTTTTACTTTCTATTCCTCAAAGAATCCAGAAAAAAATGTATCAAGCTTTCCACAAAAATGTTATGCAGCACATCTGCTTTCAACATTTATAATAAGAAGAAATGTTTCTTGAGCAGCACATCAGCATATATGAATGATTTCTGAAGGATCATGTGACACTGAAGACTGGAGTAATGATGCTGAAAATTCAGCTTTGACATCACAGGAATAAATTTAAAATATATACAAATAGAAAGCAGACATTTTAAATTGTGATAATATTTCACAATATTACTGTTTTTGATCAAATAATTGCAGTCTTGGTGCCTTCTTTCAAAAACATTTAAAATCTATATAAAATCTAAATAAATAAATTGTTTGGTCTGAGATCTGTAAATTAATATCATGTTGCACTAAAAGGCAAATACGTGCAAATCACAGATTTTTAAAAAATAGTGTCATTTGAGACTGATCAGTTTCTTTCTTTCCTTCACAATGTTAGAACAGAACAACACTTTATGTTTTATGTCATAATTCCTCTAGCAAGTCATATGACACTTTAAAAAATGCTAAAACGCAACATGACTTACATAACTCTGCAGGTCAGTGTGGTCTGCACGTGCTTCTGGAATTCTGGATATTTAGAGGCCAGATACACAAAGTCTGGAGGTTTATCCTTATAACGGTTTCGAGGATGCATGGATTTATTCAGCGCCATTCTTTCTGCAACAAGACAAGATTGCACATGACACCACAAACAGCAGCAAAACAAAGTCATAACCCATTTCAAAGGCCCCAAATTAAAATCCTGTGATCATTTATTCACCCTCGCGTTGTTCCGAACATATATGGACATTTTCAAACAGTAATATTAGACAGATTGTCCGCTCATTGAGCAGTCACCATTCACTTTCATTGTGTGCAAAATCCAACAACAAGATGTTATGAAAGTCAAAATTGCATAACAAAATTAGACAATGAGTCATAAGGGTTTGGAAAAACATAAGGGTGAGTATATGAAGACAGAAGTTAGATTTTTGGATGAACTGTTGCTTTAAGTCTTGTTTTCCATGTGAATGAATTAAAGCGCGATACAGACTGTGTCTATTTAAAGAGGAAACATACTGTCTGTGTATTATGTAATAAATGATCTAAAAACACAAGTAAGTGTTCAGGGCTAATTCTCTTGAGATATGCTAAGAGAGTAAGTAGACAAACAGCTAACTGATTCACCAGACAGCACACTGTAAACTAGGGATGGGCGTATCGATATATCGATACTGACACGAGTATCGAAAGTATCGATACTCAAACTAAAAATATCGATACTAAGGAGTGTTTTATTTACCAGTGATTTTATTTATTTAAAATAATAATAATAATAATAATGTGTACAAATGCATTGAATTGGACAAATAACATTTGTTCGCAAGTAATTGTGTAGGACAGAACTATTTTCCTGCTCATCTGAACACACGCAAATGTTGCAGGACAGAACCAATCAATCAGAGAGCGTTCACTCACTTCTGACAGTACATTCAAACAGGGCTGCTTTTCCCAAAAGTATCATAAGATAGCATTAAAGCTTTTGGGAACGGCAGCCCTGAACAATGCTTATCAGAGGACAGAAGAACAGAGTCATTTCACAATAAACAAATTGAAATCGTAGCCTACAGTTTGTGCAATTACACTTATTTAAATTGAACGTTGAAAGATAATATAGATCATGTTCTATTCTGTAATGTTAATAGAAATCATACACTGTCAGAACAAAAAGGTTGCATTCTATGCATGCAACAGCCGGTCACTGGCAGTCCCTTATGATAATGAACCATGGTTTTACTAAAGTGACTGTAGTTTAACTGTAGTATTTGTAGATTTGAATCATGTGTAAACAAAAAACACATTTGAACCATGTGTAAACAAAAATATAACCTAATAAATTACAATTAAGGCGTATTGAATGTTAAAATGTTTTTTAAACATATAGCTAAGTGGTTGTCATTACCCAATTTACTCTTAGTAATTTAATAATTTTCATCATTTAAAAGTTTATTTCATAAGTATCGTATCGGTATCGACGATACTGCCTTGAAAAATATCGGTATCGTATCGAAAACAAAATAAGTGGTATCGCCCATCCCTACTGTAAACATGCATCTGTAACAAACAGCACACGCGACACTCTACCGTTTCGATAGACCGGAAGAATAGATAAATACCAATAGAACGAAAACTTCGGTAGTTTCTTAGTGTTCAGCACTCTCGGCTGTCATTGGCAAATCACGTTGTCCCAACATTCGTGTTTGTTCCAGCATTCCGCTTTAGTCACAATTCTGCACCGGCGCACACATATGGCGTAATGGAATCGGTTTATTTAACTATATATTTGACATTAGACAGGACAAATCTTGCGCTTATGTCGAGATTCCCCATTAGCATATATATATATATTTTTTTTGTTGCAATTTTACTATTGGAATAGATTTTCTTTTCCCATGGCTGTTTTTCTACTGTTGATTATTGTTCTTTTATATTTGCGTATTTATAAATGAAAAAAAAAAATCACTAACACAGACAACACATTATAGAAAAACTATTTCCTATTACAGTCTAATTATAATAAGGTTATTAAAACTTTATATTCCACATGCAGATATTATATCCACAAACTAAAATGGCTAATGAGACCTAAATTTCACCTCTTGAATTTATTTTAAAACTGTTTACAATTTTATTGCATTATATTTTTAGATTTTCTCCCATTTTTTTATTGTTTTATTTACATGTTAATAAATTTGATGCGGGTACGATCAGCGACACTCCCACACTTTTACTGTTTGATCTACACTCCCGGTGACGACATATGGAGCTGACTTGTGGAAATCTGCGGAGAGATTAGAGACACTGTACTTTAGGAACACAGACTTGAGCTTAAAAATTATATTAAGATTAGTACTCAACCAATATGTATTTTTTTGATGGCCTGTATTGAGGCCCTGTCATTCTTAGCGCTGTCAAAATAAAGGTCCCACTTCCAACACTTGTCGACCAAACAGAAAAACTCATCACTCCACTGACAATGATTTAAAAAATGCCAAATATTGGTTGATATAATGAAGATGTGATCCTCAAACTGTGATCAGTCCAACATGGCAGCATTAGCTCAGTCAATGGCATGATTTAAGGGTCGGGCTGCCTGATCATTTGACCAATGGAAGAGGAGGGAGATATCTTGTTTGAAAATCCTAACTGTACCAGTTCCATTTGGTGATGCTTGTGCCACAGAAATGACACATTTCCACTTTTAAAACATGCATAAAACACTTGATATAGCAGGATTCACAAGCTCAACCACTGTCGAGAGACCTGAAGCCTCAAACAAACACTCAGTTCTCTACTCACACCAAAACCATTGTTTCAAATCAATAGCCTGGAGGACGAGTGCTGTGTACTGAAGTGCTTTTAAAAGAATAACATCAAGTATCTCTAGAGAGCTTCAGTGCCTTGATCCACTGAAAAGATCTGGACTCAGGCAGTTGAAAGACTGGAGGGTTCAGCGTTTTCTCTGAACATGCTGCCAACGGCTGACAGGACTACCTTTTGTAAAGTAACAAACTCAATCTTAACCTGAGAAATCACTCTTTGGGGAAGCAAGGATGCACTGTACACTTCTAAAAGGCATCTTTACCCTTCCTCGGTCATTAAAACAACTAATATGCATTTCAAACAACATCAGAAACCAGTGAGAGAAGATGAGTTTTTATATGACCGCTTACCCAGAGAGGTAACAAAATGTTCATGGGCACTCAAGGTCTTCATGCAGCGCTTGTTTTTGTAATCCCAGATCCTCAAAGTCTTGTCATCAGCGCAGCTCACGATGAACTTTCCTCCAGGGTGCACAAGAACCCCACGCACCCAGTTATCATGGCCAACCTGAAGACAACACCAAACAAAATGTTTCAGATTTGGACAAAAGCATAAAACTTCTCAAATAGTCTCATTACTATTTGAGAATTATTATTATTATTATTATTACGCACTTCAGAGAATCACAGCAATTTCACAAGACCGACTCACCAGTGTCATAAGGCACATGCCAGTGCTAACATCCCACATCTTGATAGTCTTGTCTCTGGAACCAGACAACAGGAAAGGACCAGGTTTCCCGCTCTTCTTGCTCTGGTGTAAAAAAGAAAAAAAAAACAGGAAAAACTATTGAGCTTTTGAACCTTCTACATTCTTAGTGTAATTTAGTGTCAGTTTGTTTTATGCTGTTCTCACTGAAAACATTCATTCTAAAAAAAACACTGTTTTTGTGTATAATATATTTTCAATAAATATAGATAAATATTTACGGTTTTTCCTAGAAGGAAAATGCAATAGTGTCTGGGTAAGTCTTTAACCCACAACAAGGTTACGGAAACAACTTTATTAAGACAGATGCACTACAAACAGCATCATTAGAGGTGGCTGAGACTCTAGCAGAGGCGCATATATCAGACATCCAGTAATAACACTTTGAATACCACACCTTAGTACTGAGAGCCATTACATATCTTGTGCAGTCAATGAAAAGGGGGGATATAACAAGAGCAGAGGTGTTTGGGGTGATAATGCATTTAGATAGTTCTGCAAAGAATGGATGGTCATTAAATTCAAGGCCTTATCTATTATTCTACCTCCATAAAAGGCCAACTCTGCTTGAGGGGGGAGTGCGAACAGACACATTAAAAACAAAATTGCTCTTGCCGAGAGGCTGGCATGCTCTGACAAATGTGTTCAGGCACATTTATACTTTTAGACAGAGCTGCTGTAATGACATACAAGGCTTTGTAATTAACATCTGTGACAGTGTTACTGGTGTCAAGAGATTGTTTTAATTCCACCTGAACAGGTTTGACAAGATCAAAGATGACTGACTAAATATGTTCACTTTTTAACATTGAGGAGAAAGTTCTCTTTACATAAAAATAGTAATTACTGTGAGGGTTAAAGGCTGTATTCAACATGCTGTGAGGGCTAATGGTTCATCAGATAAACATGAAATTGGACACAGTTGATCATAAGACCAGCAATAAAAATCCAAATGGTACGTTCTTCACCTTAGGCTATCAAGTGCTAATACCACCTATGTCATTTCACAGTCTATTTCAAACCATTGTACATGACAAATTTAGATGATCAGTTGAAAATCAAAGGACCCATCAAAACGTGTTGAAAGGGCATAGCAAAGTAGAGACCAATAAAAATCTCAAACGATAATGCATTGATTATTTACACAAACAAAGATCCTTTGATTCAAACCTTTTTTTTTTTTAAATGCAAGGTTAAAAGTGGAAAAAATGCCGGTTGACCTGTAATAGCATCTGAGACCTGGTTTCTTGAAGCCTCTGTGTAGACTTCTTTTAGAAAATTGTTTTACCTAGTATTTTACTGTATTCATTTTGTGCATATTACATGTTACTATTACTTATTACCAGTGGTCAACGAATTACACATCACAAATACACAGAGTAAAAGTTCAAACCTAAATATGATTTTCATTTACCATAATCAATACCAAAATTCTGCATTAAGGTAGTTTTGTGGACAAAAAGAAAGATCCATTGTCTATTGGCAAGAGTGTTACTGGTTCATTGTAAAGAATCGGCTTATTTAGGAATCGTTGTTAAAGCAGTTTCAGATAGCATAAACAATTATTGAACATATTAAATGGCATAATTATTTGCCATTACAAATGCTATTTTCACTCTGTGCTCTCACCTCTGAGCCAGTCGCCTCTAGGATGGTGGGATGGGCACTTTCAGGGGCCCAAGAAATGCACTCCACAACATGCTCATGCTCACGCAGCTCCGCCTTGCATTCTTTTGTGGCCACCACCCAAACGCGCACCGTCTGGTCATTAGAACTACTTGCGATCAGGGTCCCGTCTTGGTTGGGCCGCACCATGCGCACCCACTCTCTGTGGCCGGTGAATGTCTTGACACAGTACCTGTTTTGCAATGCCAACAAACACAGATTTAACCACATTTATCATTGTCAAGATCATTTCTATTATAAAATATAGTGCTGTCAAATGATAAATTTTTTTTTTTTTTTTTAAATTAACTAATTAATCAAATTTATTTCTGAAATTAATCTTGATTAATCCCACCTAACAAAGTTTTTAAATATACTTTTATATTGCAATAATTTCACATTCAATCTTTAAATGAATGTAGAAACAACAAAGACAGTATATATTTAATATTTGTTTAATGGCATCTTTTTTTTATGACTGAAGGCGAGTATCACTGATACCAACACTACTGATGTCTCTAGGAAGCAGTTTTTCCCTAATATTTAACCATTGACTAGCCATTCAACATTACAGTATAATTGAGAGTTATCAATTTGAACATCTATTACACTTTAAAAAATAAATTTTAATTTAAGTGAACTTTAAACAGTCTTAACATAAACCCATTATAATAAATATCATGATTACCTGTGCCCTTCAGCAAGAAGGAAATATATAGAAATCGAATAAGTTATCAAACACTAATTCTAAATTAAATATAGATGAATCCTTAAAGCTACAAAAGTTATTGATTTCCTCTTTTTTTCTTTTACTTTTATTCTTTGATTAACAGACATCACAGCAGCTGGGTTATTAGATTTTTTTTCTGCTGTTACTTTAAAAGCTGCCGCTGCTGAACATGATGCGGTTCTGACCCACTTCAGGTCTTAAAGGGCCTGTTCACACCTGGTCACTTCATGCTTTTTCTCTGATCAAATAGCTATCTGATCGTGAAAAGACCAGGTGTAAATGCTCTCCGAAACGCTTTCGAGATGGGTTTAAATTCAATCGCTCAAACCATTTCAGGAGGTGGTCTGGGACACATTCCAGACGAAACTGGACAAGTGTAAATGCATCTGGTTGTTGAAACCACATACAGTATGTAAATTTTACTTCTCCCAAAATGTTAAAATAATAAATGTGTGAGAGCGTGTTATATGCTATATGACATGTTATAGTCAGATATGACAGCACTAATGCAACACGCATCGCCACAAAGGAGTAGCTGAGTATCTCTCTTTAGCAAGCTGACGTGCAAACTGCTGCAAATTAAACTGAAAATAAGTTGCAGATGCTCAACACACGATCATCTTCATTAAAAGTAGACATGTAGACTCTCTCTCGGTGACATTGCATGCTCATAGTTTCTTTTGCGCTTTAATATGAGATGATACAGGCAACAGCGCGCCGCCACCGCATTTGTGCGTGCAACTGAAGAGCACATGCTATGAGCAAAGTATAACGCTGACAGGACAGGAAATTGAGATTTTACTGGCATGTGGCCTGATAACATTTCATCTCTGTTGTTCTACTGAAGCTCCCTCATCACCTGTGCCGTTTCTGCACTTGTTTGTCAAGAAAAAGAGACAGAAGCAGCAGTTGTGAGTAGGGTGGCCAACCCTAGCTCCACCCCTGTGTTATCTGCGTTAAATATTTTTAACTTGTTAAACTTAAAAAACATTAATGCGAACGCCCTATTTGATTTACAACATCAAAAATGCTGGAGAGCAGAATTTCACTTTGTTACTTGTTCAACATTTACACAGGTGCTTTTCAGCTGAAGAAACTCAACAATACAGTAACTGTATTGTTGGACAGTTTTGTTGTCGCAAACTATGGTTAGGGGTACATATTAAGATCACCAACCTTTGTTTTGGCAGCCCAGGACTTTATCCAATAAGTACATTTTAAGCAAATATCAAATTAAAAGAATGAAACCTGCATACAGCATTTGCTAAATGACTTACCCAGTGGCCACCTCCCAAATTTTAATGGTTTTATCCCTTGAGGCAGAAACTATGTGATCTCCATTGGGCATAATAGCTACAGATGAAACATTATGGTCATGCCCTGAAAAAAAATAAAGAAAAGAATTAAGTATGAAATATTCCAGATTGTCCTGAAATTGACATCCAAAGAAGAACCAACAATGTCTGACATGAATAACACTGAATTCATTTTGGGATTCAGCACATAATATACACATTTCTACCATACAAATCAAACCGTCATGCACATTAGGATCTGACAATGAGTGGTTAAGCTTTAAAACATATTGAACAATTTAATGGAGAATAAGAAGCTGCTAATTTGCCTTGGGCTGCTTTGTTCTCACAGTGTGCGGCGAAAGAGATGAGCTAATTACACAGAACGCCATTTTTAAGCTCCTGAATAGATGATGAAACTAAGTAGCCTAGAGAAAGCAGTCTTAAATATGGGGGGAGAACCACAAAATGTTATCTCGTCTCAAAGAGGATAATTAAACTGCTGTCCAAATCTCCTAATCTTCCGCTAAAGCAGGCGACCCATGAAGCGAGACGGGGAGAGAGAGAGAGAGAGAGAGAGAGAGAGAGAGAGAGAGAGAGAGAGAGAGAG